ATTGATCACTTCATGTGCCAGGTTCTGTACTAAGTACATCGCATGCATTATCTCCATCGATTCTCAAAACAATCCTCTGCGGTAGACAGGATTGTAATCTCCACTTTACAGATGAGGAAATGGAGGCTTAGCAAGACTAAATAAGTCCCCACGGTCACATAACTTGGACCAGCCAGAGAATTGGAAGAGGGGTTGGGAGACCCTGGGAAGTCTCCCGACCTCTCAGAGCTCAGTCTCCTTCCCTGAAATGAAGTGGTTCCCAGATGTGCTCTATAGGGGCTCCCTCTGGGACTTCCTGGGGCCCTCTAGTTTCCTGTGGTGTGTCCTGAAGCCTGATCTGCATTCCCAGGAAAGCTAAGCTCCTAGAGCCAGTGGCGGGTGGTGGTGAAGACTCTGGAGCTGAATTGCCTAGGTTCAAGTCTGGCAGCCTCTGAAGTGACCTTGGGCAAGTCACTGTACCACAGTATGTCAATTGCCCCCCCTGTAAGATAGGAGTAACCCTGATAGCACCCACTTCATTCACTAGGAAAGGATTAAGTGTGTTAATATTTGTCAAGTGCTTAGAACAGTGTCTGGCACCGAGTAAGCACTATGTAAGAGTTTGTTAAATAAATAAAAATTCTCTTTCCTCTTGCTCTATGGCCAGGTGCTTGCTTGCGGGAGAAGGCCTGGGATGACTAGTTGGGGGGCTCTCAGGGCGGAGGACCTAAGTGGGGGACGGGCAGGATTGCCTTAGCAAAAGGCCAACTATCAGAGGAGCCTTACAGAATCAACCAAAGGGAGACGGGTGACGGAGATTTCCCTCTGGGCAGTCCAAAGGAGAGGTCCTAAAAAAAAAAAAAATCAAAGTCAGTGGAGGCAGCAGAAGGGATGACAGGGAGAGGTTCAAAACTCCACCCAAGGCACTGGGATCAGTTCCTCAAATAGGAGGCCACAGCCTGGTGGCTGACCTGAGCCAGACCCTTTAATTTCTGAGAAAGGGAGAAAACATATATTAAAACCGTCTCTGAAGCATTTGACAATTTTTTGAAAGAACCAGAGCAGAAGCTCTTGGGGCTGGTAAACAGCTGCCCACCAACCACCCTGCACCCCAAATGAGGGGCTGGGGAGACTCGGTTCGGCAAATCCACGCCGGACTTTCTGTCTCACCCGGGTGATTTTTTTTTTTTTTAATGTGCCAGGAATTCCTCTCCCACGTGGGGTGGACTCCGAGGTACTCAATTAAGCAGCCAATGAAAAGTCAGCTCTCCGGTAGCAAATGACCCTGACACTTCTTGTAACATAAACAGTTGAAACGTTTCCAATTAGAACTGGAGACAGAGACGTTTGAACTCTTTCTCTCCACTCCCCTCCTTCTTGAAAAATAATTGTGAAGCGCTTTGGACATGGTGTTGTATACATGTTTTTTTGTTTTCTTTTCCCTTTCTTGAGCATAAAAGAAATGTATATTTCTCCTTGTGGCTTTTTTTTTTCTAATTTGTGGGGTGTCGTACGGGTGGGGGTAGAGCGGTGGCAAGCCTAAGGGGGTGCTGGCCTGGTTACTTACGTCCCGCCCCTCTTCCTGTTCTGGGCTCCGGAGAGCTGGGGGTGATGGTGGGTGCGCAGCGAGTAGGATTCCAGAGGCGGGCGAGCTGGACCTGTGACCCTACAGCCTGACCCTCAGAAAGGGCTGCTAATGAATGAAAGAATGAATGAATAGGAATGAATCAAGGCCTTTCCTTCAGCAAATGCTTGCACGGATCCTCCTCCGTAACCAAAGGAGGCGCTGAGGTTGGCTCTTGAGCTGGCTGCCCTGGATTCGAATCTTGAGACTTTTGCCCAGCTTGGGGCAAATTCGGAGGTTTCTCAGCCTCTCTTTTTTACTCTATAAAATGGGGGGCCACCATGCAGGCCGCTTCCCTAGGGCGTGAGGTGAGGACGAAGAGAGTGCTCGCTTGGGTAACAGCGTCCTGCCTCGTGCATAGTAAGCGCTCTAGTGCGCTAATCGTTCTTCACTGCGTGGCGGGCCCTCCAGCTGCGCCCAGCAGAGGAGGCGGCGCTCGGCAAAACCAGGTCCATCTATGCAGCGCCTCACTTCTCCAAGGTGCCGCGCCCCGCGCACGCGCTGGGGCTCACAGGTGAGCTGGACCGGAGTCCGCCCTGTGGGAGTGTCCAGGCTCGTGCGGTCCCCCGGATCGCGGGGGGCAAGAGCCATGCCTGAATCCGGGACAGAGCTGCTGGGCTCTTCTGTCCGCAGTCCGAGTAGACCTGACCTGGGGGCCAGGACTAGTCGGCCGACTGCGGGCGGACGCCGTCGGAGCCAGTTCGGAATGAGATCGAGAAAGGGAGGCCGGACGAGGCGCATCTTGAAGGCATTGTATTTAATAAATCCAGGCGAGACGCACACCCGCTACTCCCCCCCCCCCCGGCTCCCAAATCGAGACCTGCTGTGGGATCCCCAGTTTACGGGGTCTTAAAACCCCCTCCACTTTGATTAGCAGCTTCAAAGGGCTCCCTTTAAAGTTTGCCCCCTCCCTGCCCCCACCTTCCCTTTTACAGGCCACCCCTCCCCCATCTCTCCTTCTAGACTTCTGGACGGCAACAACAAAACGCGACGCAAGTTTGGGGAGGGAAGGGGTGGGGAGGGAGAAATCTTCAGGTTTCCTCCTAAACGTGGGCCGTAGAAATTACCTGTTTCAGGCGTGCGCAGGAGTCAGAGAACCGTGGAGTTTAGGAGTTTTTTTCTTTCTTTTTCCTTTTTTTCTTTCTTTTTTTTTCTTTTTTGGTTTGTGTGTGTGTTTTTTACCTTTTATTATTTAAATTGATACGTTTCATTACTAGGGAGAAAAATAAAATATTCCTTTGATACACAAAATCAAATTGATATTTAGCCTCTGCTTACTTTTTTATGCATGGCTCCTTTATACCACATGGTAGTGACAGATTGTTTGAGCTGGAAGGAAAAGCCATTCAAAGCTAATTAAGCAGCCATTCCAAGCACTATTTGCAAGCGGGAGGCTCAGAAGCCTCGGCATTTGTCAGCGCTCCCCCACCCCTCGTGGTTTTGACTGACAGCTCTGGCTGCGGACTGACAGCTCCCTGCAGTTTCACCAATCAGAAACGGAGAGCCCCCTCAGCGGTCTCTGATTGGTCTTCCGGGCCTTGCTCGGGGGCGGGGTCGACGGCTCCCACGTGGGGGGCAGGAGCGAGAAAGGGGCGGGGCGGGTAGGAAGCGGGTGCGCCCACCCGTGACGTAAGGGGGAGGGCAGAGAAGGGGGAGGGGAAAAGGAAGCTCCAGAGAGGAGCCATTTTGTGTCTAATGAATGCTGCGGCCAGATGCTCGCATCTGTCGAGCTGGGCTTCTCCCTACCCCCCCCTTCGGTGCGCGCCGCACACGATTTATGTTTTTATTTAGGAAAATAAATAAATGAAGAGAGGAGCGCGGTTCAGGGCTGGCGGCCGGAGCGGGCGCTGGGAGGTTCAACTCCGAGGCGGGCGCTCACGTGTAACTCCCTGCGCACCGGCCTCCGAGCGCCCGCTCGCTCTCAGCTCCTCATTAAGATGCAAGAACGAACTCCAGATCCTAATGAGGGGAAAATATAGAACCGGGGGCGCGCGGCCCGCTCGCTCGCGCCCGTCACCGGCCCTCGGGTGCGTGCGCTCTCTCGGAGATGCCGGGGAGGGACTCGCGCCCCCCGCCCCCCGCCGTGCGACCAGTCCACCCCGCGGTGCCCGCGGGGGTCCGGGGCATGGCCGCTTCCCCACACCTCCCCCCACCCAGGCCCGTCTGCCCTGACGTAAGCCCGAGCGGCAGATCGAGGCTACCGGTTTGCGAACAAACTGGCCCGCTGAGTCGAGTGGCCCGTGCGACCGCGCGGGGAGTCCCGGGGGCGCGGCGGTGGGGGTGCAGGGGAGCGCAGGGGGCGCGCGAATGTCTGCGCCTCCCGGGGCGTCGAGGCTGGCGGCCGAGACACCCACGGGCCGGCACGCGCGCCCCTCCGCAGGCTTCCGCCGACGCGGTGTCACTGCAGCGAGCAGGCCCGGTAAACCTGGTGGGAACCGGGAGCTCCCGGGCCGGGGCAGGGCAGGGCCGCCTCCCCATCCCCTCCTCCGCTCCCCTGACCCGGGTGCGCGGTGGGGAGCCGCGGGAAGGAGCCCCGAGTGGGGAAAGCGCGAACTGGGCCGGTTGTCCGCTGGCAGCCGGTCCTTCCATCTGCGCTGCCCAAGCAAGAGTTCCTCAGACTTCTCGCAGGCAGCCGCCGCACATCAAAGACGCTGTTTATTTGGCTTTCTGAAAAGAAGGACGAATGAACAAAGAAGAAAAGCTGGGGGCCAGTGGGGGGCGGGGGGGCGTGGGCAGGAGAAGGGGAAAGAAAGGGGCACCCTCAGTTTCCAGCAAATTTTTTCAGGTGGGAGGCAACTTCGGGATCCACCATTTTATCAGTCTTAAATCTTGCGAAGTGAAAACATTAAAGTGACAAAGTGATTCTGTTTGTTTTATAGTATCTAATTGGGCTGCTTTGCAGACCTAATGAGATTCGAGGGAGGAATCGTTCGCCGCCACTGCAGAATAAACTGATACGTTACTACCAGCCACAGGTTTTGAGGACCGTACAGCTTGTCTTTTTTTCTTTTGTTGTTATTCCTGTTCCCTCTCTTTCCCCCTCCCGCCAAATAATTATTTGCTAGTTGATCGTGGCGGGGGGGGGAGGAAAGAAAGAGGCGGGGGGAAAAAAAGTCTAGCAGCTCAGGACTATAATATATATCTATTTATTATATGTCTTTCGGTTAATTCCTGATCTGAGGAGCGCTGTTTTTCACTCCCATGCGAAAGTCACCAGCGGGTAGGGCCTGATTGCTACTTTTCATGCATAGTTTTAGACACAAGAGGGCATTGTGACGTCGCGCCCGGCGGCGCCCAGTCGCAGGCCGAGTCCGGTAGCCCCACGTGGGGGCCGCGCGCTCCCATTGGCCAGCGCCGGGCGAAGCTGCCACATTATTTTGTTACTTTTCAGTCCCTATTTGGAACTGCTCTCGCGGCAGTTCAGACCTCGTGCTCGTCCCCCTCGCCTGTCTGTGTGTGGTATCCGCAGGTCCGGGGCACTTTTTTGGGTGTGTGTGTGTGTTTGGGGTGTGTGTTTGGGGGGTTTGTCGGGGCGCGGAGAGGAGAGCCGGGCCGAGGGGAAGGAAGAGAGCTCCCCGGTCTCGGGCTGCGCTCTCCAGCCTGTGCGCTCCGAGGCGGCGGCGGCGGCGGCGGCGGCGCCGAGCGCTCCTCGCTGAGGACGCGGCGCTGGAGCTGGGAACAGCGAGGACCCCTTTGCGGAGGCTTCCTGTGCCCGCTGGAGTTAAGATGCCAAGGCGGCTGATTTGCACCTACTGAGCCTGGAGTTTCCTCCTCTGCTCTGGGAAGGGCTTGCGGCGGCGGCGGCGGCGGCGGCGGCGGCGGCAGTAGCAGACGGAACAGCAGGCTCTCCTCTCCGAGGGGGGGCGTCGAAGCGCCCGCGCCCGGCTCCCGCCCTCACCCTCCGGCGCTCCTGCGGCCCCCAGCCGCCACCTCGGTGCTTGGCTCCTTCCTCTTCTCCCGGAGCGCCGCCCTTGGGATCGGACTCGCGCGCTCCGGATGCTGGGGCTGCCTCGACGCGCCCCCCTCCCGGCGCGAGGCGCTGAGTGATCCGGAGGGGGCCCGCAGTCGCCCCAGGAGGGGACCCCGGCCTCGGGACCCCGCGCCGGAGCCACCGGGGAGACGACGATGTCCGCGCAGCCCCGGGCTCTGACGCGCTCCCCGCAGTGGGGGGAAGGCGGCCGGCCGCAGCCCGCCGAGCCCTAGGCGCACAAAGCCCGCGCCCGCCGCCCGGCCTCGGCGCCGGCCGACGACTTTGCCGCCTGCTCCGCAGCTCTTTGTCTCCACTTGGGGCGGGCGCCCGACTCTGGGATTTCGCTGCGAGAGCGGGCTGGGGGGGCCGGGGGCGAGCTCTCGGTTTCCCGGCCGCCCCCCGCTGGGGCTTGGCTCCCCCCTCCCCCGCACCTCCCCGGCCCGAGCTCTCCGCGCTTCCACGCTCTCGGAATCACGACCCCTCCCTGCCATGTATCCGCAAGGCAGACATCCGGTGAGTAATTGCAACTCGGTTTATTTAAGCATCTATCATGGCAGGGTAAACGAGGCAGTTTATCTGGCACCTCCATTTTGCTTGTTGCTACCTTTATGGTGAGTGTGTGTGCGTGTGTGTGTGTGTGTGTGCGCGCGCGCGCGTTCACACAAAGGGGATGGGGATGGGGGGGCGCCGTTGAGAGAGGAGGTTAATTCCGCCCGAGTGGCGTGGGGGGCTGCCAGTGTTCCAGCCGAACTGTTTGTTTTCACGCTACCCCCTCCCTCTCTCCCCAATCTCCCCAACTCACCCGGCTGTCTCCCAGTTCCTGTCTTACTTGGGAATGGGAGCCCACTCGTGCAAGGGATGCAAGCCCCGGCCGCCTGTAGGGAGGGATTTAGGGCGCCCCCCCCCCCCGACGGGCAGCTGAGAAACTTGCTGGGAACGTTCTGGGCTGTGAGGGTGGCCTCCCGGGTTGGGGAGGGGGGAGCCGGCCGAAGCCGCCGGGGGACTGGTGCAGCCTGGAGCCCCGTCTGACGCCCCCGCCCCCTCCCCTGTCTCGTCTTCGCCGGCTCTAGGCTCCCCATCAACCCGGGCAGCCGGGATTTAAATTCACGGTGGCTGAGTCTTGTGACAGGATCAAAGACGAATTCCAGTTCCTGCAAGCTCAATATCACAGGTAAGGCCGGTGGGGGCTGCCCCGGGGCCGGCGGGGAGCGGCGTCCCCGCCGCTGCTCCTGCCACCCCCCGCGGGGACGGTGGGGGCTCCCGACCCGGGGCGGCGGGGCAGCCGGGGCCTCCGCCTTTTGTTTCCCCTTTCCGAGCGCGGCGCCTTAACCCTTTGCTGCCCGCAGCCTCCCGGCTCCGCGTGTCGTACGCGGGGTGAGGGTCGGGGTCGCGGCGGGCTCGCTCCGGGTTCCGGGGGTCGCGAGCCGTCCCCCCCACCCTCCGCGGCCCCGAGAAGTCCACGCGCTCGGCCGCGGGAAGTTTCAAGTTGTTTCACTCCCCTCCCCGCGGCGGGGACCCGAGCCCCCTCCGCGCCGAGGCTGCGGGATGACCGGGGTACCCCCGGGGGAGGTCAGGAAGTGAAGTGGCTCGCGGAGGCCCTGACGCTGGAGCCTCGGAGGAGGCTGCGCGGGCTCCAGGCCTGAGCCGGCTCCTCCTGCCCTCGCAGCCTCAAAGTGGAGTACGACAAGCTGGCGAACGAGAAGACGGAGATGCAGCGCCATTACGTGATGGTGAGAGGCGGCCCCGGGCCGGGGCGGGGGCGGCCCGGGGGCGGGGGTCCGAGGACCCTGCAGCCGGGTTCCCAGCGCGCCGCGGCCAGCCAGCCGCAGGGCAGCCCTGGGAGCCGGTGTCATCCGAGTGTGCCCCGACCCTCCACCGGCACCCCCCCCCCCCCCCCCCCGCCCTTAGCCCGGGCCACTTGCGTGAGGGTGGGCGAGAGAAGGGGAAAAAGAGAAACAGAGAAACCTAAGTCCAGGCGGGGCGCTTTGGCGCTACCTCTATGCCCCTTTCATTTGTGTTTTCAAGGTTTCCCAGAGGGCTGGGTGCCCTGTCTTGGCCAGTAAGATAGGATTGGATCAGCACACGTCAGGGTTGGATAAAATCTCTCTTAGAGACCTCCTGGGAGTGTTTGGAAACTTTGCGGCTTTGCAGCCCAGGGATCTAGCCCGAGTGGGACAGAAGCCCTCTCTGCCTCCCCCATTGCTTACCCCTGGGTTTTGTGAGCATGGAGGAGCCTTTTAAAGTCCTCTGCCTCCATTCCCCTCCCTCCTCAGGGATACCCCAACTGAAGAATCTTGTCAGCCTTGGGGCAGTAGGTAGACTCTCACCCCTTTCCCAGCGGCTGGCTGTTCAGCGAGTTTCAATCTTATGTTTGTGAGAGGACAGGGAAGGCACTTAAGCGCCCTCCCTGCACTGCTTTCCACATAAGAGGCCTTCGACACATTGCTAAATAACTCTCAGAGGACAAGAGGGTCCCAGTGTACACACGGTTCCCTGTTGAACCCGAACCTTGTATAAACAGGATATATGGCACATGGGATGCTTGTGGGAGGGAGGGCTTGGCTCCTCGTACTATTGCATATATAATGTTAGAGATGAGACGAGGACCGCACTCGCCCCTTGTCAGCTCTTAAACCCCTCTCTGTAGCTGGCTTCGGGGTTTGGGTTGAACTTCTTTAGCAGATTTATCATAAGAGTACGACTTGGCCAGAAACCTGCCCCCAAAGCCTGATTTTGGAAAGTGAACAGATCAATGTGTTGCCCGTTAATGGCGATTCTTTTTACTTTTAGTACTATGAGATGTCCTATGGCCTGAACATTGAAATGCACAAGCAGGTAAGTGCTTTTTTTTTCCTAAAAAATCTGATGGTTAAAAACATGTAACACATGAGTTTCTGGTAGCCCCTCCTCTTTGAAAATGAGCCTAGCCCTTCTGTTCTCCTCCTTCTCCTTGAAGAGTGAATGGATCCAGTCTTTGAAATGCAGGGTCTGAGGTGTTGCTTATTTCTTGGACATGTTGAGTTTTTAGCAATAGAGCTTGTGGAATTAGTCCTGGTCTTGGATCTTGGTGGAAGATAAAGGAGCAAAGGGAAAGTTGTACCTTAAGGATCTGCTTTACAAACTCCTAAAACCTAGAGAGGGCTGGCTGGCTGCTTTTAAATGTTTTAATGTAAAATTCTCGAGAGGAAATGCAGGAGGGGTGTGTGTGTGTGTGTGTGTGTGTGTGTGTGTGTGTGTACACACACACACGTACGTATGCCGGCCCTCGCAAAAATTTGATGTTCTGCCTTGATAAGATTAAACTCCAGGAGTCTTAAAAGCCAGGCCGAGCTGTCAGAATTTAAGGGAACAAGCGACTAACTGCTGAAAAATACGAATCCAGGATGAACTACAGCAGTATAATGCCTTGCAGTTCCAAGGCCGCTTTCTCCTCTCTATCTTAATTTGAAGGCAGCCGGGTTCCCATTTTACAGAGAAGGAAGCTGAAGCAGAGAGGTGAAGTAACTTGCCCAGCGGCAGCCTCGCCAGGACTTTTGAGATGGCTGGTAGTTGAGCTCAGCTTTGAAATCCTGAAGTCAAACCAGTTTAGCTAGTGTGCTGTTGTTTGATGGATATGTAAACTACCTCGTATTGTCGCTCTTCTAATAACAGTATACCTCAAACGGAGCAAATACAAACAGGCTTTATCTCGGTGCATATCAGTAACTAGTGCTAGGCTGGGCTGTGGGAGAGGCCTGTTTGTGTATTTGTGTTCCAAGGAGAGGCTGCCTGTAATTTGGCTTGGCCAGCGATTAGAAGTGACTTGGCACGAATAAATGGCGAAGACCGGTTGTTCTTTTTAACAATTGGTGTTCTTGAAATCTCAGAAGGCTGTTGACTCATTCTAGCCTTTGGTGACCGTGACTTGAATGGATTTTCTGCCTTAAATGAACAGTCGTTTACAAGGTCTAGATTTTGTTCTTTCAGGGGGCAGGGACCCGGGCAGGTGAGAGGGGCAAGGGACCCAGGCATGCTTGTAGATTGCTGCCTGCTCCAGCGGCTTCCTCTAGAGCATTTTGGATCCGCACTTTCCTTTCGGATCCGCACTTTCCTTTCTTTATTGGAGGAGCCCCAGTGTTAGGTGGAGGGCAGCCCGAAAGGGGCCTGAGTTCATGGAGCAGTGTGGGAAGCCAGTCTGTGGCTTCCTGAGGGGTTATGAGCTCCTTAGGAAGGCACAGGAAAGCTACCAGCTTTTTACTTCTTGACCCACAGGAATCATAAGCAAACACGGCTGTGTACATAGAGATGTTTCTTTTCAGAAGAATGAACTGGAGACAGGTTCTGCCCAACTTTAGGTGGGACCGGCCGGGTCTGACTTATCCAGTCCGAATGCATGCCACGGACCTGGGGTCTCAGGTGTTCAAGGACCTTGGGGTGTTATGCAAGGTGCCCCTTCCTCCCTTTCTCAACCCCCTCTTTTTTTGTCCCCCCCCCCGTGCTTGGTTTCTGGGGTGTGTTTAAAGAGGGTAATTGCACCCAGGTTTAAAATTCATAGCAGCAGTTATTCTAAGAGCTTCGTAATTAAGGTGTAATACGTCGTTGCATGTTGAGGTCTGCATGGGTGGTGTTCCCCACGTCTGTGAGTGGATGGTTCTTTGGCACAAAGAATCCACCTTGGCTGGTGGAGCAAAGGTGTTCCCGGAGTCCTGGGGAGACTCTGAACTCTGGAAGAGTTAACTGTCCTAGTGCCTTTGGTGGTGGTGTTTGCCTCAAGAGCAGCTGTGTGCATCTGGGACCTCTGGCTATTCCCCAGACGGGGCTCTTAAGGGGAGAATGCCTGAGGTTTGGCGACATGGTCTCATTGTAATCCTCCCAGCTGCTAGAGGCAGACAGATGGGATTCTTTGCACCCTTTGTATAGGCCAGGAAACTGAGGCTTCAGGGAAGCCAGTGGGCCAGAGCTGGGACTCCAGTCCAGGCCTCTGGATTCCCCCACTGGGCGCTCTGACCCCACTTGCCACGCACCTTTGCCTTCCAGCCAGTTCCCCTTGGCTTCCCAGCATGAATGAGTGTGCTCTGAGCACCAGGGCCTTTGCAGGGTTCAGGGCCCTGTCTTGAGTGGGGTGAAATCGCCCCATGGCTGTGGAGGAACAAAGAGGCAAGGAGGTGAAGAAACCGGGGCTAAGAAATGCAACGCTGACCTAATGGGGCCGGCCACTCCCTAGGCTTGCGAGGGTTCTGTAGAAGAAAACCCAGCCACTAATTGTAGTGTGGGTCTTGGGTGCATTTGGCGGATGGTGGTTAGGCCTGAGCAAACAAGTTTATCAGCTGACCTGTTTAGCGGTTGACTGGTGTTTTATCTGCACACACAATCAAGTGACTGGAGTGCTTGAATTATTCATGCAGTGTCCTGCCCTCTAGACTTGACTGTTCGTGTGATTACATCTGCCTGGAACAAACAGGCTGGATTCTTCATCTTTAAGCTCAGGGGTGGGGGTGGGGACTGGCTGTACCTTATATATTAGGTGAGCTCCAGAGCCAGTACCTTGGGAAGTGTGGGGGTCTTCAGCCTGCTCACGTGCATCACACCCCAGCTTTTCCACCAACCGCCACATTTTTTTTTTTTTTAAAGCTCTTCTTTGCTGTCTCTATGGGAAATGCTTATTAGTTGGGAACCTCAGGTTCTGCCAGATGGGCCCCGATTATTGACAGAGGGCAGCTGATGAGGTGCGTCCAGCCCATTTCTTCTTTTACCTAGAGGTTAAACTCACTGTGGCTGGCTCCTTTCCTGGCTGTTTCTGTCTCCTTCTCGTTCTTTCTCCAAGCTGTCAAATCCCAGAGAAGTAATAAATGGGTTTTCCTCCTACTCCTCTGCCTACCTCCCTAATTATGGCAAAGCAAGATTACAGAACCACGGGCCAGGCCTCAGCCTTCCAGGGGTCACCCACCTCCTCCAAGCTCCTGCTTCCAGGCAGAATGTCAAGGGTGATGCGGTGAGGCCAGGGAGGCGATGGGGGCTGCCCAGCTCATCCTCGTCGGTTCCCATCCTGTTCCTGCTGGGGCTCTCCAGTGTCGGCCACCAGTCACAAAGCCGGCTTAGAAAGGAGCGCCCCAAAGCACCTTCTGGGCATTGGGTTGGAGGCAGGAGAAGCTGGGTCAGGCCATCTTCACCCTCCCCTGGTCAGCGCTGAGGTTTCAAAAGAGGACTTGAGGCATTTGGTACTCTGGGGCAGCGCCGTGCCAACGCCAAATGGTCACCCTTTTTCTGCAAACCCAGAGGAGCAGTGCTTCCTCCAGGTTTCTTTTGGCATCCCGGAACTGGGAGAGCCCTTTGGCTTCTCATCCAAACCTTCCACGTTTCAGAGGAGGAAACTCAGGCCCGGGAGGGGAGCTGAGCTAACCCAGTCACCCAGTCCCATGTTAGTGCTCCGGCTGCTCCTGGGGCCTTTCATCCTATCCCCAGGGCTCTGTTTAGCAAGACTCAAGAAGTGATGCATATTTGTTTACTAACCAGTCGCACTCTGTGGCTTTAAGTATTATTGCTTCTTTCTGTTTATTATCTCCAGAAGCCGAGGCTACAAACCTGGCTATACCAAAGTACAAAGTACCCGATTTCGGGTTGTATAACCATATCAGCTGAACACTTTTTTGCCAACAGTCCCCTTCCGAATTGCCAGCTATTTGCACAACCAGTGATGTGATATGCGTAATAATAAACCGAATGCATAACTAGCAACCCCAGAGGTAAGGTTCACTGGCGAGGTAAAGTGGTAAGACCTGTGAACTTTTTACCCGAGGATACAGAAAGCCGTGAACACAGGGCTGAAGAAGGGGATGGCAAATCTCCGTCCCCCCCGCCCCCTCCTCGCCTGAGTAATCAGGGGCTTGGCTGGAAGATCTCCAGGTACTAGTTGAAGTTCTGTGACCATCACTTTTGCAGGTGTGGGTGGCCAGAGGGAACCAGCAGGTGGCAAGGTTACGAAGACCCGGCCCGGGAGTGCCTGTTTGGGTGGCCTCTGGGTTGAGCTAAGAGGAGATCCGGAGTAGTGTTTTTTCCTGGCGTCCAAGCACCCCTCTTAGGCCCTGGTTTCCGCCTAACCTTTCCTGGCTGGTCACTCTTGCCTAGGACAGTCTTTCTGCAGTCACACAGTTCCTCTCACTGCCCTGGGGGCCTGCCATGGTCAGCTTTGGGGTCTACCGAGCTCAAAGTCCGCTTTCCCCCAGCCCCAGACTGCCTTCCACCCCAGCCTTCTCTGGGCCCTTATTCCTCACTGCCCAGTGAGCTGTACAGAGCAGGGTTGGTGTGGTTCTCTGGCTCTGTCCCTTCTCGTACGTTTGGTCATTGGGATGACCTAGGAGGTGGGCACAGAAATGGCTCCTGTCCTTACTCAAGGACACGGAGCCTGGGTGGGAAACCTGGCTTCTTAATAAGACTCCTTCCATGAACTCTCCTGGACCAGGGGCCCCCAGAGGGCACAGAACTGAATCTCCCTTGGGATTCCTCCTCCTCCACTTAGTACAGGAAGGGTCTGGTCTATGTCAGAGGCCCTTCATTTCCATTTTGTCCTAGGAGTGAGTCGGTCAAGGAATGAGCTCCCTTTTCCCTCCTGCATGGGAGAGTGTTTTTTTATCCAGATCTGTTTGCACAAAATACAGGGACGCGTGGGGCGAAAAGGTGGTCAAGGCGAAATCTCAGTGGGGTTTCCCCCTGTGATCTGGCGCGCGCGTGCTGTCCTTTCTCACACTTCAGCATCTCCTGTTTGTAGCCGAGGAAGCCCCTTGGCTCGGGTCTGTTACGTGCCCTTAGCACGAAATAGGTGCTCAGTAAACACGCCGGTTTTTCCTTTACTCTGAATT